GGAGGCCAATGTAAAGCACAGACTCACACCCAAACGTTCCATGTATGACTGAGATACTTCCCGAATGAAAGCGCACGCTAATTGATTTCTGTAACCATAAAACCATATTGATTCGAAATTGAAGAAAGCATTCGTGAAACCTAAGAGCGAAATGCTCCATTTCCGTGTCACTGAATATTTTCGCTATTTTAGCAAGTGGAACATAATACGTTATACCCTTTGAACAAACTTGATATTTGTGGGCGGTGGGTCCCTTTTGCAGCCTGTAGCCATGATAGATTTTGATAAATTGGGGTTGACTGGTATTGCTTCTTCTTCGTATACCGTTTTGCTTTAGTCTGCCCTTTCTCCAAAGAGCTCAGTGTAGTACGCATCATTATTCTCTCCCCCTTCTCCATTTTATCCTCACAACAACCCCTGAGAAGTGGGTGAAACCGAGAGAGACTTTTCTGGCCCAAAGTCCCCCCCATGAGCATCATAGAAGAGTGGGGATTTGAACCTGGGTCTCTCGGGTCTTTGTATAACACTCTTAACCACGGTGAGCTACTATGGGTATAGTGGTTAGAGTGCCCAGCTAGGATCTGGGAGACTCAGGTTCGAATCCTCACTGTGCGATGTAGTTCACTGGGTGCCTTTGAGCCATTCATACAGGCTCAGCCAGACCTGCATTGCAGGGTTGTTGTGAGGATAAACTAGAAAGGAAGATAATATAAATCAATTTGGAAGAAAAGTGGAGTGTACAAGAGATAAATAATAAAAAAGTAATCAAACTCAACTGGAAAAGAAGTTCCAAATCAGTGTTCACCATGAGATGGAAGAGAAATGTTCATGTCTTTTTATCTATATAAGGAGAATACTGAAGCAGGTGCAGAGATCTGATCATCTCTAGGCATATATTAGTAAGAAATGAATACGTAGGTAGACACCAATGCGGTGTTCACACACACTAAATAATCCACTTTCAATCCACTTTCAATCCACTTTCCAACTGGATTTGTATTGTGTGAACTGGCAAAATCCAGTTTGAAAGTGGATTGAAAGTGGATTATTTAGTGTGTGTGGTTTCCTAACCAGTGGCCTCCAGCATCAATAATGCATTCACAGGAACAGTCTGATAATCTGACAAAGATATTTTCCCCACCGTTCTTTCTTTGCAGAGAAGCCTTTCGTAACAGCATCATGGATTCAAAGAGATTATGCATTAAAATTAAGTTCAGACTTTGTTTCAATTAGGACATTTTAAAGAGAGAGGTTTATTATAGCTAAATCTTTTTTTAAAGAACAATCTTATTTAATTTGTTTTTAAAAAATCTGAGACTTTTATTATCTTTATGTACCCCACTCAGTGATGGAACACAGGATTTGGGTATAAAAGTTCTCTGGTTCGCTCCTGAGCGCCCCTGTGTACATAAGGGCTGTTATGCAGCAACCGACTTATGGGAAACCACAGCAAGGGGCTTTCAAGGCAAGTGAGAAGCAGAGGTGGTTGGCCATTGCCTTCCTCTGAAGAGTCTTCGTTGGCTGTCTCCCGTCCAAGTACCAACCTTGCTTGGCTTCCAAGATCCGATGAGATCAGGCTATATACCATGCTGCCTTTCTTCCCGCTGTTGATGTTAGTTGGTTAATAAATGGGTTCTTAAGTTAAGGGCTTGCAAAGCAATGCCGATATCACCAAATATGGGTTGGATCCAGACTAAGCCTTCCATCAGTGGAACTTTTCCCTCCTGCTGTGGCCCACAAATTTCTAAGAAATGCTACTCCAGGGAGGGGGAGGGGGGACTGAGGACCCCGAGGAATGACACGTGGGGGGTCTGAAGTAGGAATTGGGAATCGGCAGAGATTGCCAATTTAGCCTGGGTCCACCCCAAAGCCTGGCATTGACTGTTAGCTGTTTGTGTATCAGCATAAAGATCTTCAGTATTTGACTGATACATTGAAGATACGGGACTTAATGTTCCAAGAATAAATTACAGGCCGTTTTCCTATTCAGACTGAGTATTATTCACTGAGGAGAGAAGTTCCAGCCTGGTGCAGCCGAGGAAAATCTGACGCACGAGACAGGAAGGTTTTAGGTGCTTTGTTACCTCCAAGCCCAATAGCCAAGACTCACTTTTAAACGTTTTGCATAGCGATTAGATTGGGCGAACATTCCTGAAGTAGCAGCAAGAGCCGGTTGGGCAAGAGGGATAAGCTACTTGTTGGAGTTGGCTGACTCACCATGATATACGATGCAGGTATTCGATAGAGGGGCAGATAAAATGCTTCTTGAACGTGCGTAGAAGAAAATCCAGCTCGGTTGAGAGTGTTGGCACAAACAAATCTGAGGGGAACCCCCCCCCCCTTATCCCCCGAAGCCGGCCATTTCCAGTTGGCTTCTCTGACCAGTTGAACTGGTGCAAACGGGCCAGCTTAGGGTACGTTTTGTTTGGCCACCGGTGCGGAGATTAAGGGTGTATGGGGGATGATAAGAATCCAGGTGTTTTAGAATGATGGCAAAAATGGTTTTCCCTCCTGGTGTTCCTTTGCCTCCAATCACCACCCTTCTCCCAGCAACCTATTTTCCCCCTTGTGGGTGTCCAGAAGTACCGTATGTTTCTACCTGGCAGATATACTTTTGGAACTGCACGGAGAAAGCTTCGGGGAGGGACATGTAAGTGGAGAAACAGTCCAATGGGGAACAGCTTAAGCGCGTTTTGTCTGCTCTTAACCGCCTACGGACCTCAGTTTGTGGGTATCTAATTTTGAGTGTCGAATTTAGGATCTGAACATTCCGGGTTCTAATCCCCACTGGCGCCATGGACGCTCGCTGGGTGACCTCGGGCCAGTCCCGCTGTCTCAGCCTAACCTACCTCACAGGGTTGTTGTCAGTGTTCCCTCTAAGCTGAGTTAGTGTGAGCTAGTTCACAGTTTCTTAGCCTCTGGCTCACACCTTTTTGTCTTTGCTCAGGGAGGAGGGCTCCAGAG